GCAACGTCAAGCTGACCCGGTACATGTGGGAACCTTGTCCCTTCCCCGGTCCTTCAGCAGCCATTAGGAGTCTGCTGAAGGGCTGGGGGAGGGACAAGGGGTGGGAACGAAAGTAAGTGGTGTTTACTTTCATTTCCCATCACAGCACCTTGGGCCTCAGAAAACGGCTTGGCAGGCTGCATGGCTGCCCGTGGGCCGTATGTTGGACAAGCCTGACTTAGAGGATGGCATCCTATTATTGTTATATCAGTTACTTCTGCCTTATGTTCCAGACATCTACATAGTGGATCAATTCTGCCAGTGACTTGCATGTGTGTCAGTTTGATGCAACATGACAGAAGGTGTGGTTTCTTTTCATTTTTTTTTAAACAAACTTAGGAAATCGCACACAATATCTTGTTCAACAAATAATATCAAGATTGCAAGGTCAAGCACTCAGGTATCAAGGATTATCAAATTAAGAGTGACTGTATAACCTGAGGTAGACCACATATGTGTATTCATTGTAGGATCTTTTTTTTAATTACTGGATCATATACCATGCACAGAACCCCTGCTTAATTCAGTGAGCAAAATAGATTTGTTCTGGGAATTGGTCACTTTTGCATGCTAAAGGATAACATAGAACTTCTGCTTCTTTTGTTGCCAAGCTTGGGAGGGGTATAGTGAATGTGGCAGGGGATTCCAGCATGAGATAGGACAGTCTCGTGGCCAACATAGTTGATTGTTGCTCTGAGGAGTAGAATTCTACCCCTGCCTCAGAATTTCTGCATGATGGTCAACAAGTCATTGAAATAAAACACATCGCAGGTAGTCACAGCAAGTTTCTCATTTCCTTGTGTCCAGCTTTATACCCTAGGGTCTGATTTGCAGAAACACTGAGCAGTGACAGCAGCAGCCAAAGTCTACAGAGACTTTGTAAAATGTAGTATTATGCTAAGAAATCTGTAAAATTGGGCACTAGATGTCTCAAAACAGGCAAAAATCAGAGGCTGCTTCTCACTTCAATATCTGCATCTCAGGTCCCAAAACGTAAAAACCGAGATAATACTACACCTCTGCAGGGTTTTTGTGAAGATACATAATGTTTCTGAAGTGTTTGGATACTATAATGATGAGTACCATAGAAAAGCCTAAGAGTAAATTAAAGAATCTGTTTTTAGAGTGGAGTTTGACTGGTGCGCAATAAATAAGGCCTGCGGCCACATATGGAACAATAAGGGAAAGCTAAATATTGAATGGCTGCTCATTAAGTGATCACCATCTATTGCATGTACTGAATGAGGATGGGGTCCTGGGGAAAAAATAGCACGTGGTCATGTCATTAAAGACTTTGTCATAATGCATGCCCACAGGGGGCAGAATTTAAGATGCACCGGCTACCTTAATTATGGTGTTTTCTAACTTTTGAGTGCTTGGCTTGGAACCATAATAATATTTTTCCACAGAATTTTTGTGTGTAATATATACACACCAATGAGTCAGGTGTTATTTTTTCATTATGATTACAATATGGCACTACCTGTCTAATTATCTTTTCTCTTTCTTCCATTTCCTGTGCTTTCTTAATGTTTGTATTTTATGTTTTGTGATTGGAGTGATTAATGGTTAGCTGCAACATTTGAATAAATTAGTGGTACGCTATTCAGGATCCATGCATAACATCATTATTAATTGGGCTTCATGTTTATATATTTGGTATGCAACTGAAAGTACAAGTACATGCACCTACATTGTTCTGTATTAAATTTCAGATAGAGAAGGATACCTATAAATTAGCAAACCGGACCACCTGCTGTTCTGCAGTTAATTCTAAATTATTTAATAAACCAGTACAGTTGGTTTCTGTTAGCAGGATTAGTTTGGGCATCCCTTTCTCTTGACTGTTATATCTGAATGATCAATGTATGACGATTTGCAAACCTGAGCTTCCTCAGGTCAGTCCTACAAGCAAAATCTTTGTCCTATGAGGAGAAAATGAGCTCTGTTAGGCAGTTAAGTGCCATGACAGGTCTATCAAGTTATAATTGGCTCTAACTGGCACTTGCAGGAGCTCTGACATGCTCTACCTGCAGCCAAATGGCCCTCAGAAAGGCAAAGTCATGTCTGCCTTTATAAATAGCCAAGCAATCTCTTCTAGTCTGATCCTTGCAACTGGAAGGACTGATGCTCAACATCAAGAGCAAAGGACAAACACCCCAACCCAAGTAGAAGAGCTTCTGGAAAGTAAGGTTTAATGCACAGAACCAGCAGTAATCAGTAAAACACAGCACATTTTAACTCACATGCTGATTTGCTTGTTATTCTGTGAGCCAGTATAATGTAAAACATAAAACTAGCTAATAAACTAAAAGAGGGTATTTGTAGTTTATGCACTTGTAGTGGGCTGTTTGAATTACCCGTACATGGAGAGAAGCCATGGATAATTCATTACCCAGACATCTCTAATTAATATGAAGAGGCTGCAAACATACTTGAGGAGAATGGCTGGTAAACAAACACAGTAAACACACTGCAGTAGTCACGTACCTGCCATTAGACTCCTCAGCTGAATGGGAAGATCTAGTTAAAGGAAAAGATTTGGGTCTGAAGGATTAACTTTTCTGAAAGTAGAATGATACATGTTTGTGGCTTTGTTATGTCCCCTTGCTTTCCTTTTGAGTTAATTCAAAGGCTGTGACTGAAATTTCCTAACTGATTTTGTGATTTCAGTTTCCTTTTTTTTTTTTTTTTTTT